TTCATATTAAACATGCTCCTGGCAGCATCCCAAGGACTCGAGAGGAAATGGTGTGGAGCTCAACGCGGAGTAAATGAGGGGATTAATTAGCAGTTTAAAGACAGCAGTGCAAATATTAGCGCTTAATATAAACGGTTTGTTGCAATTCTTTCCTTTGCCTTTGGATACCGGGAAAATAATGATCCTCCAAAGCCACACCTCTCCCATGCGAAATACCATGTCTTCCGATTTCAGGCCATGGGCCTTCTGGCCTTTCTTTTCCTTAATGATGCTCCTAACATCATTGCTGGGGGATACGCGGAGCATTAGGATCCAATTAAGTGACATCCAGTACACGATCTGTCGCGCCAGGCCAAGTGACATTACACTGGCTGCGATTAGTGGGCTTCTGAGCAAGAATTCTTAGAAAAATGTCATAATTACCGAGAGCGGTCCTGAACTTTGAGCATCCCTTCAGGAACAATTAAAGATGTTCCTAGAAATCCTCAAGCCTTCTTAAAATCTTTAAACAGACTATAAAAACCCTCTTGTTAGATTGCGGTTGTCAGGAGATGAGTGCTTGCGCTGTGATGGTCCAATAATTGGGTCTTTGTGAAGGAACTGAGGATTGAGAGTAAGATTCCAATCTCAGTGAGTTAGAGATGGGAAAACGAAAAGCAGACAAAAGCGTCGTGCAGAAATAATAATGAATTTTTGACAATTTTATAACGAGAGGAATGTATTTCTCACTTTTCAATAAAAGCAGATGAACTCATTAATAACTCATAAAATGCCATGAAAATTAAAGTTTTAAAACAGGCTTAGTTTATTCCCTCAGATATTAGTTCATTTTTATTTGAGAAACACTGCATTTGTGAGTGAGCGTTTTATGAATCATTAAAGATATTTCAGTGAGACCAAGCCTCTAGCGCTGAAAACCAAGCCAAGCAAGTGCAGATTTCCTTCTCTTTGGTGTAGCATCTTTCATTACTGCTGTGGAGATGCTCATTTTGGAGCAGAGCATGCCAGTGCTGGGGCGCGCACAGATTTTTGGAGAAGGTATTTCCAAAATCCAAAAGATGCCTCTGTTTTCCATTTAACGTTTCAATTTCTCTTTTATTTTTAACATTCCTTTATGCTCATTGTTACTCTTTCTCCCTCCCCCCAGCTAGGCACAGGCTGCAGATAGAAATGGAGGCTGGGCACACCAGTGATGCTCAGGAGGGGATAGCAGGTGACCCGCAGGCACCACAGATCCACAGAATCACAGCATGGCCTGGGTTGCAAAGGAGCACAACGCTCATCAGTTCCAACCCTTGCTGTGTGCAGGTCGCCAACCAACAGCCCAGGCTGCCCAGAGCCACATCCAGCCTGGCCTTGAACACCTCCAAAAACAGGAGAGCAACCTGTTGGGCAGCCTGTTCCAGTGCCTCACCACCCTCTGGGTGAAAAACTTCCTCCTAATACCCAACCTAATCATTAAGGCTGGAAAAGACCTCACCACATCTAACCATCGACCCCTCACCACCATACCCATTAAAGCCTGTCCCTAAACCAGGCCTTCACATTTCTGGAGCCTGCAGTGCTTCCGTTTATTTCCCAGAATCGTCTCTTTTGGCCATGTTTATGAATAAATCCTATTTCAAACATATCAAGAATTATTTTAAAAGGCACATGCTTTATAAAAACCGTTAATATCTTTTGAGGGATAAGAAGAAACATGAAATGAAAAATACAGTCATCAATGATTCATTTATCTTCAGCAGCGTCTCCAGTTTCAACAAACTACAGACAGAAAACGAATGTGCAAAGGGAGGGACCTGCAGATGTGCTTGAGTCGAAGAGTTCTCTCCAAACAGCTCACAGGGCACCTGCTGCCTGCAGAGCATCGTTCTGAGAGCAGGAGGGCTCCTGCAGGGGCACAGCGTGTTGCTGTGGTCTGAGCCGCCCTCCCCAGCCCTGCTCATGCTCACATACAGCTCCCTGGGTAAGAGGATCTCTTCCAACACCCTCCTGCCCAGAGGAGCTTCACGTGCTGCAGCATATTGCCTTCCCTCCGGCTGTGTGTGGGACCTTGGGCCAACGGGAAAGCAGGCGCTGCTGGCAAGCTGCACTTACTGTGCAGAAGTAGTCATTCTTAGAGAGATCAAAAGAGATCAAAGAGTACACATGAATCTGTAAATATCCAGGTGACACAGCGTGCAGATCCCTAAGAACACTACTGTCTGCAGTGGGTGTGTGTTCTGTTCTAATAGCAGTTTCTGCTCCGTGAGCATCGACGTGGAGCTGGCTCTCCTGAACACCAGTCCTCAGTTGCTCAAGCAGGAAAGTCAGAATGTATTCTGGGTGTGCTCCCTGGTGTGTCTGCAACAGAAAACATTCAAAATTGCTCCAAATACTGTAACTTAGTAACGTAATGTGTCTCAGATAGGTAGCGCAGTGTGGCAGCATTCTGTGCAGACAGAAACAAATGTAACTTCAGGGAATGCAAACAAGGAGATGTGCCTCCACCTCCTGCAGGAGCAGCCTCTGCTCTGCTCAGCCTGGGAAGCTCAGAGGAAGCAGTGGAAAATGAAAGATCTATGCGTGGTTTCTAAGTTGCCCAAGGAAGTTGTGGAGGCCCCATTGCTGGAGGCATTCAAGGCCAGGCTGGATGTGGCTCTGGGCAGCCTGGGCTGCTGGTTGGCGACCTGCACACAGCAGGAGTTGGAACCAGATGAGCACTGTGGGCCTTTGCAACCCAAGCTATTCTATGATTCTATGATTCCATGTTATTTCCCCTCTGCAGTTACTATGTAGTGACAAAACTAAGGAAAAAAAATGGTTACACTGTCACACAGTTTGGTGGGGACCCACGCAGTCCTGTGACATGCAGCAGCTCCCAGTAGCTGGCTGAGATGTGCACTGCCCATGCAGCTCCCAGTGCTCCATACCTATATATCACAGGTACAGATCTGACCTTGTTTGTCTCCACCTCTGAAACTTTCTGCTTTGTCAGCCTCTGTTTGCAGCCTTTCTTTTATCAGCACGCCTTTCTCACCAAACTGCTTTTCTTGTTTCATCTCTTCAGCGGGGAGATCTCCTTCAGCCCTCAATTTATCTGCCACTTTCAGACATTTTTTCTTTACGTTTTATCTGATTTTTCTTTACAAATGTGGAGTGCGGCATCGCTAAAGCTAAATGGCCTTACGCTGACAATGTTTAAATGGTGCCTAATGTGGTAGGCACATTCTCCTAACAGACAGCAAGCTGTTCTGCTAACCCACAGCCCCTAGGAGAGGAGCACATCCTGTACAATTACAGCATCTGATGTCGTTTGAAACCCTGAATGCATGGCAAGTAGGAGGAGCAGCTTCAGATTATTGTCCTGGTTGAATCCAATTGTTTAGGCTGTTCTCAGCATCCTGTGACAACTCCTCCGCAGGAAAGAAGAAAGGTGCCTCTGTGATCCCAGCTTATAAGACCTGATGGGCCATGGGTGCTTACAGCACAGCCAGCACTCAGATGGCATCCTGATGGCATTGCCACTGGGGAGCTTACCTGCTCATAGAATCATAGAATCATAGAATCATAGAATCATAGTATCATAGAATCGCAGAATCGTAGAATCACAGCATGGCCTGGGTTGCAAAGGAGCACAACGCTCATCAGTTTCAACCCCCTGCTGTGTGCAGGTCACCAACCAGCAGCCCAGGCTGCCCAGAGCCACATCCAGCCTGGCCTTGGATGCCTGCAGGGATGGGGCATCCACAGCCTCCTTGGGCAGCCTGTGCCACTGCCTCACCACCCTCTGAGTGAAATTAGGATTCCTCCTAATATCCAACCTAAACCTCCCATCTCAGTTAAGCGGTTGCTCACACAGAATCCATATGAGGCAGCATACATGCGGGTGAGCCCATGCTGGGGCTTTCAGGCTGCATGGGGATGCTCCCCAGGCTGTGATCTGCAGCCACGATACAGCACACCTGCATAGCTCAGCCTCCTGCTTGTAGTCCCAGACCATGCTGGGCTCCTTGTGCTGACACTGGCTCAGTGGAGCACCATGGACCTGGGGTGCCTGAGCTGGGGCTGCATTGTGGTTAAATATCCCAGGAAATATAGAAAACAAGAAAACAGACAGCAAAACAGCCTTGGCTCAAATTAAGTCCTCAGAGTTTTTCAGAGCCCCCCTGGACTTGCACCAGATCTTTCCTCTTACTGACTTACGTTTAGCGACAGGAGAGGAAGATGCAACCTTTGTAAAACCCATCCATCCATGCCTTGGAAAAGCTGTCCATATGGCGAGGTGTGCTCACGCTCCTCCTGACGCCAGGGACCATATGGGAAACACGATTCTTGTTGTGCTCTCTCCCAGGAGCTACACGTGTGCTGCTTTGTTGGGCACTGTGACACCATGCAGTGGCTGGACCTGGGCATTCCAGCTCAGCTTCACAGCTGCTTCCCTGCCATGCTGGAGAACCCTCTCCTATAGCCCAACATATCCCCAGCAGATAATTACATATCATTACCCATTTCAGCACGTCTAGTTTTAGCTTGGAGAAGAGAAGGCTCCAAGGAAAACTCATTGTGGCCTTCCAGTACTTGAAAGGAACGTATAGACAGGAGGGGGAACGGCTGTTTACAAGGGTGGATAGAGATAGGACAAGGGGGAATGGTTTTAAACTGAGGCAGGGTGCCAGGGTGCACTGCACAGCAGCCCAGGGGTGGGGGTCAGCATCCCTGGGGGTGTTCGGAGCCGTGGGGATGTGTGTGCCACTGAGTGATGTGGGCAGTGGGCATGGGGAGTGGGCTGGGGGTGGATTGGGGTCTTTTCCAACTGGAATGATTCTGTGGTTCTGTCTTTAGGTAAGGTCCCAGCAGCTCTGCTCAGCACTGCTCCCATGTTCTGTGCAGCCCATCCCAGGGGTGGGGGCTCTGCGGTGCCCAGCAGCTCTCCCATTCAGCCCTGCAGACCTCAGTGACCCTTCGGGTGCTCTGTGCTCAGCCTCACCTAATTGCTTTCTCTGATCATTTTATTTCAGCAAAACCATTTGAGAGCGGGCAGTACCTGGACATCTATGGAATTACAAGAGATCAGGCTGGGGAGTACGAATGCAGCGCAGAAAACGACGTCTCAGTCCCAGATGTGAAAAAAGTAAAAGTCACAGTAAACTGTAAGTCACGTTGGTTTCTAATCACTAAATCCAATGCAGGAGAGGGGCTCTGCTGGGAAGAAAAATGTAACGCAGTGAACTGCTGCTCGTGATGAAAATGTAGATCTGTTTTTTGGTGCAACAGTAGCGAAAAGCCTGCGGTGTCTGAGGTGTGAGTGGTTCTGAGCAGAGGTCGGTAGGAGAGGACCAGGTTCAAACCTGACTGCTGTGCTGGCAGCAGTTTTGGGCCAGCATGTGGCCTGGGCTGGGCTCTGCTGCGGGCTCTGGGCTTGGTGGTTATTCACTGAGTAATGTCTGTGATTGCTGGTCTGAAACGTTTCTGGTTTAACTTGTGGTTGTGCAACGGGACAGGGAGATGAGAAGTGATATGGCACTCTGTGTGGGTGTGAGAGTGGATCCCAGCACAGGCAGCAAGTGCAGGCACTGCTGGCACAGGAGCTGTGCTCTGCCTCTCCTCCAGTGCTGTGGGCACCGCTGTGGGTGCCGGTATGGCCTCTGGTGGGGCTGCAGCCCACAGTTGTGCCCTCCTCGGGTGTCTGCAGAAGTGGGATGCTTTCTGGTTTGGGATCGGATTTGATTTGACATTCAGTACAACACGAAATGTTCAAAACGGTGTTCTTTTCCCTTCCAAAAAATGTTTAAAAAAGGGAAAGAAAATGGGAATAATTACACTAATCCACTCTGGCTGTGAATTTTCTTAGGTTAAGTGCAATTACGCAGCTTGTGATTTGCAGCAGTTCCTACTCTGAAAATCACTGTGGCATCGTTACTGATTTACAGATGCTGGAGGCCCTGGGTTTGTCCCCCCCTCCCCGCCCCACAACCCACAGGCTGAGTCCATCACAGTTCTCTGTAAAACCTGTGGGCTGAAAACCACAGTGCTAGTGGAACAAGTGACCGCTGGGCTGTGTGCAGGTTGTTGTTACTGGAAGACTGTCAGGAAGAGGCGTTGTGCAGATATATGTGCATGGATGGAGCATTTTGGTCAGGCTCTGGCACAGCTGCCCAGGGGTGAGGGGGGTCAGCATCCCTGGGGGTGTTCCAGAACCATTGGGATGTGGCACTGAGGGACTTTGGCAGTGAGCACGGGGAGCTGGGCAGGGTTTGGATTGGGGTTCTTGGAGGGCTTTTTCAACCTCAATGGTTCTGTGATTCTATAAATGTGAGGGGGTGTTGTGGGGGTGATGCCCTTCACACCCCAGAATGTGCTGTGTGGTTTAAGTGAGGCCTGGTGGTAGAGTCCAGAAGGGGCAGCTAGCTCTGCTTGTTTTATCAAAACAAAAACTGCCTCTGAAGACTTTAAGTCATGGGAGCCTTAAGAAGGGTGATCCTAAAAAGGGAGAAGACGATAGCCCTGCTTAGCATATTTCATTTGAAAAAAGAAAAGAGGAGTGGTAAAAAAATCGTGAAATCAGCCATTCTCCCTCATCTTCCGAGCCAAGATCAAAACTTGCACAAATCCTTATTTAGAGAAATCGTCATGTTCATGTGTGTTTGGATAAATTAGCATGTTCATGCTCTGGCCAAAGCCAGAGCTCTACTTTAATTGAGCAGTTTGTGTAGCATACTTGCGCCCTGTCAAACTGCAATTGCTTCTGGGATCAGTTCCCCTGTTTCCGAGGGGCAGTTATGGTTTGTCACTGTGTATGGGAAAGATCAGCCTTGTGGCACTGCTGAGAGCACGGAGGACAGTGGCACCTCCCCGTGCCCCATGGCCAGAAGCATTGGCTGTCAGGCAGCTGAGCTGCAAGGGTTGGGATTTGACCTTCCTCAACACCAAGCCAGGGGGGCTGTGATGACGGAGGCGTGTGAGTGTCAGTGCCAGCCACAAGCAGGGCAGCTCGGGTCTGACAGCAGGGCACTTCCAGTCATGGCAGGGGGAAGTTATCAGGAAGTGTCCTTGGCTGTAGTGGGGGTGCACCTGGCGCTGGGTTTCTGTGCCAGATTCAAACTGCTAGGTCTGCACTGGGACATGCAGAGTAGTTTTTCTCAGTCTCTTGCAAGTAAAGAAGAAAAAATCAGAAGCTATGCAAAACTAGGATCTGTCTACAGCTTGGAACTGTTTGTATATGTGAAAGATTTGTCACAGTCAGCAAACTGCACATGCACTTCAGTGTGCTGAATGTGCTGTCCTCACACTCAGCTCTGCAGCCCCTGCAGGGCACATCTGGTGCAGGAGCCCCGAGCTGCACCTCATTGCAGCAAGCTGTGCTCTCCTCTGCCACTCACCATCACCCCTGTCTCCCCAGCAGCACATCAACAAACCCTGAGCGGTTCCAGTGAACATAAGCATAATTCTGAGTATGGTATTCATTCCATATAGCAGCTGTTCAGTCATCTCAGCAAAGGAAATGGCCAGGCCTAGCTTACTTCTAAACTTCAAGTTTGGTGTCTGTGCAGCCCTGCATCCCCAGGCAGACATAAGCACTTTGCTGGCCACCATGCTGCATACCCTCTGCAGCTCGTAGTGACTCTGCTTGGACTTTGGGTTTGTCCTTTGTGCCATTTCATATCGCATAATCCACATTTTGTACGTAACTTATGTGTGTCTGCATGGTTTCCCTTTTTAAAGAGGTGGTCCAAGAGGCTGTGGTGTGTTTGTGTTTGCATTCTGAGGAGAATCATTGGTGGGGTCTCAACATTAGGTGGTGGGAGGGGGATGGTTCCTGAGAGAGGACAACTATTCCCAATCATATTGAAATCAATAAAATAGAATATGATTTCACTTCAAACAAAGCTTACTAGCATTTTCTACTGCGATTTATAAAGCAAATGCTGATGCACAGATGCTGAATTCGGAGCCCCTGTGAACAAACCACTGCCTGCTTAACAGGAGCTCAGCAGCAGCTGTGAGCAGCCCCGTGCCCCACACCTGTCCCTGCAGCCCCACTCACACTCTGGTTTATGGTGACACACTTAGAAAGATTAAATGCAACCATCTCCAGAAGCACTGCAGCCATGCTGAGATGATGAAGAATGAGGCGTGTGCATCACGAAGCCGGCGTTTATCTTAATTTAGATAAAATTTTCAATTACCCAAATAAATAGTCAACGTGGGCTGTATTGCAGCGTTCCTTCTTTTCAGATGCCACATAACCGGTCTCAAACAGCTTTGTTATAGCTGGATCTTGTGGACCGTACTGAATTAAGTTCAGCTGCTTTTGGAGAGGAAAGAGAAGCCATTCATCTCAAATTAAGAGGCAGTGATTTAATTTCAGCCTTGATGAACCCCATCACGTGGCAGATTGAAGGCCAGGTGTGCTGGGGCTTGCTGGGGAGGTGCAAATTGCAGTCGCGGTGCTGAGGATGTGCGGCTGCAACAGAGGAGGAAACTGCTCTGCAAATTCAGTGGGCAGCTGACAGGGCAACAGGGAGGTAACCCAAACTGCTCCCAGTACAGAATGGACCACTGCCTGCTTGCAAAACCATATCCTTGCACAAAGATCCATTTGATCAGGAAATAATGAGGAAGAAAGAAAACAGACATGAGCAGATGACCTGTACCCAGCCACACTTTGCCCTTGCCCAGGCGTCACCATGGGACACTGCCTGGTCACCCTGCAAAGCATCCCCAGCTTTGGGGGGGGTGGGGACATTAAGCAGCACACAGGCAGCACATGCTGCTAATGCCAACCTGTTCGCTGTGCTCAGCCCATGGGTTGCCCCAAAGCACTGAGCCTGGCCCTACTGCAGCCAGAGCTGATGGCCCAGCACGCCCTGCTGACAAACCTGCTGGCAATCATATTCTGTCGTGGCATCTTCCAGGTGCTTTCACTTCTTTGATTACCTGAATGGCATCATTATGGGGAGTGAGGACAAATGGTCTGGTTTATAATTCCCTGGCACCTGCCTGTGGTTCAGGAATGCTGTAGTTTTCGCACTGGCATCTTCCAGGCCTTGGTGGCACCCATGTCTGGTGGCTGCTGCCCAGCCCTGAGTGGAGCGAGCAGCACAGGGCTGGGAGCTCAGCAGGCACCAAGCGCTGCTGCAGGTGGCTGTGTGTAATTCTGCACTGCTCCCTTCCTGCTCCTTTCTTTCCTGCTGCAGTGGTTTGATAAGACATCCTATGCTGTGTTTTTAGTGGAGTTTTTGTTGTTGTTGTTGTTGTTTTTTATTTTCTTCTAGAGGAACGTGTGATTTTCTTGTATGAATTTTAAGTGCTGTGTTTGTTTTTGCTTGGCCAGGTTAGGGTTTTGCAGAACAGCTTAACTCATTAGCATTTCTTAGAAGTCTGCCTTACTGTTGCTATGACATTTGCATAATATTATGCACTGTGCTCTGATTTTACTTTGAAATCAGACATACTGTACAAGCCACTCTAACCTAATTACATCAGTAACCTGAGACCTACCAGGAAACTCAAGATGGGACTCAGGTGTGTGCTGGGGCTCCCAGTGCCTGGACACAGGGCTGGGACTCTGTGCTCCCAGAGAGTGCCTTGCTGCCAGCCAAAGGAAAACATTTCCTGGGCAAGGTTCTTTATGTACAGTCAGCAAAGAGATTTTCCTTCCATCAAGGTGAATATGCTATGAAATAAAAAGGCGGTGGTCCCTTCCAAGCCGTGCCATTCTGTGTCAACTCTTCAACCAGAATCACACCCAAATTGGATGAACAGATATGCTCACATGTGGCTGTGGCACAGAAGGTCCCTACCTTGAGGTGGCAATGGCTGATGCTGTCCCTGTTGCATCACACTGCTCCTAATGATGAGGGCCTGCAGCACTGTAACAGCACAGAGCAGTTTGCAGCCCCAATTCCCACTGACCATTCCGAGAGGCACATGTGCACGGTGCCTCAGAGGATTTAGCTCCAGAATACTGTTTTGAAGTATCTAAATTGCACTTTAAAAGTTAAAAGCACTCCGGAGTGTCAGTTTAATTGACTTCCTGTGAAACACGTTTCTCTCAATTCTCTGGTTACCTTTCAAAAATGGGATTTTTGGCTTCCAAGTCACACTGGGGACTCGTCAAAAACTCTGGCTGCTGGTGAATATTTGATTC